ACCAAGGCCAACTTTCCTATGAAACCAACAGACAGATCTCCTCATGTCCATTTCACAAATGAAAAACAGAAGGGGATCAATCACGTGGGCATGTTGGTAACATGATTTTACACATGAGGTGTGTCAGTCAGCTTTGTTACTGTAACAATTAGCTGAGATAATCAATTTGTAAAGAGGAAGTTATCCGGAGTCACACTTTTGGAGGTTTCAGTTTATGGGCAAGTGGTGCTATTGCTTTTTTTTTTTTCCAGTTCTGGAGTTTGAACTCAGAACCTCAAACTTGCTAGGCAGGCACTCTATCACTTGAGCCACTCTGCCAGCCCTTTCTTTTGGTGCTGGATAATTTTGAGATAGGATATTGCTTTTTGACTTGAGCATCGATCCTCCTGATCTCTGCCTCCCGAGTAGCTAGGATTACAGGCATTAAACACCAGCACCCAGTGGCTCCATTGCGAAGCCCGCAGGCAGAGGAAGCCTGTCCACCTCATGGCCAGGATGCAAAAGACAGACACAGGAAGAGGAAGGGGCTGTGGTTTCACAATTCCCTTCAAGGGCATGTCTACAGTGATGGGAAGACCTCCCCCTGCAACACTCAAGACACCAATTCTCAAAGTTTCTACTGCCTCCCTTTAACATCACCGCGAGGAATAAGCCTAAAACACGTGAGCCTCTGGGGGACACTTATCCAAACATAGCACCATGGATTCCCTCATTCCACGGGCTTCTCCTGAGCTGCTAGCCTTGAACTTGTGCAGAACTTCCAAGTAGCTGCTCCCAGACGAGCTCAGGTCACAGCCTGTGAGCTGCATTCCCTCACTTAATCTCCACCAAAGTCAGCTCCATATGAATGGGTGCTGTATCCCCAAGCCTCCAGAACAGAGTCTAGCACACGGTAAACACTGTTTACAGAATACACAGAAGAATGAACAGTGGAACCCTCTCCACAACCCTGTGAGGGAGGTGCTGCTATTTTCCAGATGAGAAGCTTGAGGCACAAAGCAGTCTTGGGCTCATTCATTCATCCCTTCATTCATGCATGCATACAACACTTGCACAGATATAGTATACACTGCACCCCAGTGTTGCAGGCACCTGGAATACAAGAGTATTCCCTGTCCTGGGTGCTCATAACTTAACAGGTGGGATAACATCTCACCACAGCCAGTTTTGGGTCCTTGACCTGGGCCCCAGCCTCAGTGGCTGTCTCATTCTCAAAAGATATGAGTCTTCAAAAAAGAATATATACCAGTCATGTATATACTACATGCCTGTAATCACAGCTACTCAGAGGGCTGAGGCAAAAGGATCACTTGAGCTCAACAATGTACTCTATGTGTGTGTGGAGAGAGAGAGAGAGAGAGAGTAGAGAGAGCTAGCAAACTGGTACCGACCCATCTCCCCATGACCACCTTGACCCTGTAATTAGAATAATTTTGTCCTCTTCGCCCTCCTGCTTGTTACCTTGAACACTTTGAATCTCTGCCCAAGGCCCTAGTTAACTCCAAATGCACCTCCTGGCTTTCTCCCACCTTCCTTTTTCCTCCTAGTTGTTGCTCGGTATATTTTTAACCTCCCTTCCAGGCAGGCATAGTCATCAGGCTAAATGTGTCTTGCAGAGCTTCCTGGACCAGCTTCCAGGGCCACAGGGATAAGTGTCCCCTACTGTTGTTGCCTCTTATTAAAGAACAGTGACCAGAAAGGTGCCACCATCTCCAAGGCAGACCTAGGAACTTTGCAAACATAAACCAAATAAGGTGGGGGGGGGGGGAACCAGGAGATACCACGGGTCCCAGGGAGCCAGTGTTTGTAGCTGAAAAGGAAGGAGGGCCTTTCAGCCAGCACCAGCTGGCTCCCTGGCCTCTGCCTGGAACCTGCAGACTGATGAAACAGACTCAGCTATATGGGAACCTGTGGTCCTCAAGGGAAACCCCGGGACCTGGAAGGCTGCAACCAGACTCTAGGTAGATCTGAGTTTGGGGCTTCAAGCTGCCTTGTGGCCCTGAGCAAACCCATAACCTCTCTGAGCACACTGTGCTGGTACTTCTTGTTTTTCTTGCTGTTTCTCTGATTGGTTTCTTCCCCTCTCACTTCTTTTACTGCCCTCTCCCTTCTTTACCCTCAGGGCCCCCTCCTTTTGACCCTCCTGTACTTCTTCTCCCACCAAGCACGCAGCAGATCAATCCTAAACCTCAATGCCTGCCTGGAAGCTCTTCTAAATACAGAAAAGCTTCCCACCAAAATCCCGTCTCATTTCTCCTCCCAAGCTCTGCCCTGATTCCTAGGAGTGTACTTCTAGCTTGCGAGCTGGGTTGCCTGCATCCCAGACAGAGTCCCACAGGCAAGCGGAAGCCACTGCTCAAGATCAGGCGCTCTGACCCCAGCAGCCAGCCTGACTGTTCCAGCTGGGGACGCGCGGGTGGGGCGGGGCGCGTGCGGTGGGAGGGGCTGTGGACGGTGGCCCGGGTGCGCGACTCCCTTTTCCGCTTGCGGACTGTCCAGGCTGGGCCCCGGAGACTCACAGCCCTGCTCTCCGCCCTCCCCCAGACTCCACCCTGCGCGCGCAGCGCGTCCACCCGACGTAGCGAGCCCAGTCCAGCCGAGTGCGTGGTTTCTGGGCTTCTGGAGTACGTCCCTCTGTCTTTCCTAACGCTGGTCCCGCCTCGAGGAGTGAGTGAGTCTGAAAAGGAACAGTCGCCCTTCCCCGGCCCTGCCCCACCCTGTCCCCGCCTCGCGCTGGAGCAGAGGAGGAGCACCTGGAGCCCGCACGTGAGGGCGCAAATCGAATTGCGCGTTTCGGCCCCAGCTTCCTAGATCTGGACCCCTGGCTGGGGCGGGCAGGGCTCGGGCCTGTGCCCTGCGTCGGCGAGAAGCCCTGGGGCTTGGGCCCAGGCGGAGGCCAGAATTTTAGCTGAACGGGAAGTGGAGGAGAGGCTTGGAGGACGCTGTGCACTGCGGCCGGGTTTGGAAACTGAGGCCCGAGAGGGTAAGAAAGGGAGCGGGCTTGCTGGAGATTTCCGAGTGAGCAGAGGCCTAAGCCCCGCAACCCTAGACCTGGAATTTTTCTCTGACATTGGGCCGACTGTGGCAGGCCTGCCAGGAGACCTGCGCTCAGTGTGGTGCAGGCTGTTCCAAGTGCCATCCCGGCGCATCGTTCTTACAGGCGGTGGGTCTGTCCCCCTCCCTTTAATTTTTTTTTTTTTTTTTTGGTGGTACTGGGGTTTGAACTCACGCTTGCTAGGCAGGCGCTCTATCACTTGAAGCCATTCCACCAGCTCTCCCCTTCGCTTAGCCGAAGAGAACCTTAAGGCCTTGCCCAAGGTCACTGAGCTAGTGAGAGCTGAAGCGCCTTCCCCTGAAAGAACCCAGACCCTGCTTCCCGAGGGAGTGTCCTGCAGCCACCTCAAACCTCTGAGAAATCCTAGCCGCCCCTCCCCGCGTAGCCCCGGGAAGCGGGGGGACTGGGTGTGACCCTGTTGTCCTCACCCAGGGGAGATCGCCCTGGAGAGTCCTCTAAGCTCCGCCCCATCATCCTGCGGTTGGTTGCGAGGCGGGTCTTCTGCTCACATCCTTAGCGAATGGATTGAGCCTAGGGAGGGGCCGCCGCTTTCGGGAAGTGGGCGTTAGCACCTGTCTCAAGGGACAGCCACCAAGCTGAGCCTCGGGTCAGCTGAAGGAGAAGAGACTGGGGTCCGCTTTTCCGGGATGGGTGGGTTCAAGGAAGGGCGGGGGCGCGGAGTGGTCGGCTGTTCTGGAGTAAATTGCATTCCTTTGCAGAGGTGAGACGCAGGCTTGAACCGGAAAACCTGATTGGCCAAGGCCCAGGGGGGGTCTCTACGGGTTCCTAGGCTCCGGTACAGCACCCAGCAATGCCACGCTGGAGACTGGCGCTGGGCCTGGGGTTGTGCCTACTGACCAGCACAAGCCTCTGGGTCCTGTGGTGAGTCACCTCTTGGAATTCTTTTTCCCTTCCCATCCAGCACTCCTCCCATGATCCCTCAACCTCTCCTGGCTCGGAATCCCCCTGCCCCAGCCAGACTAACTAGTCTTGGCTTCTGAATTTTGCCTCCTGCCCTTTGACTTGCAGTGTCCTCTGCCTAGACTGTCCTTTAACCCATGCTATGAGGAACCCCATTTGTGCTCCCAAATTCACACTCACCCTGCCGCCCTTCTGTGATTTCGGAGGCTATGCTCCCAACCCCACTGTTTGTGTGGGATCTGGACATACGTACCCCAGGAGTAAATGACCATATAGGTGAATAGATAACTACATGCCAGGAGGCTTGTCCTATGCGGTCAGCCAGACCCTAGAATGACATGGGACCCTTCCCCCAATGCACTGTTGGTCTTCACTTCCATTAATGTGCACCAAGTGAGTGTCAACCTCTGAAGCAAAGCAGAGTCACCAGGTGTTTTTCCCTCCTAGGGTGTATGTGGAGAACTGGCTGCCTATGTCCTACATCCCCTATTACCTCCCCTGCCCAGAGATATTGTAAGTATGAAGCTAGGGGATTGGGGGCCCTTGGGACTGCTCACATTTGGAGAGACAGGAGCGCTCTTAAGGTCACATTGTCCATGGCTTCCTGGGTCCTCAGCTTATGGTTCTAAGAAATGCCACAGTGTTTAGGTAACCTACAGACTGCCACACATGTGGGGTGAATTACCATTTCAGTTTTGAGCATCCTTTCAGCCCTCTAAGACAGGTGCATCCTCTGAGTCTCATCTGCTGATTCTAAGATGGAATGGCAGAGATGCCTTTTGTGGTCCACTGAGGACATGGAGTGTGATGGTGTCCATGAATAGTCAGAAGGTGTTTGGAAGGTGGTCAGTAAACACTGCTTTTAGGACTGGCCCTTTTTGCTGTTATTTTTGGTCTTTTGTTTTTTGTGGTACTGAACTCAGGGCTTCACATTGCTAGGCAGGTATGCTTCCACTTGCGCCATGCTCTGAGTCCTTTTTTTTTTTTTTTTTTGCTTTTAGTTCATTTTCCATGCATAAGGTCTCATTCTTTTGCCCCGCCAGCCTCAGACTGTGATCCTCCTACCTCTGCCTCCTGAGTACCTGGAATTATAGCCATGCATTACCACATCCAGCTCTTTTTGCTCAATTTTGTGTTCTGTGTGGATACAAGGAACTGATTAACATTTGACTAAAGCCTTTTCTACTTTGTGAAGCTAATTATTTGACAACTAAGGATGAAAAAGTGGGTTGGGATAGCATCAAGGGGCATCTGACCCCATGGTCTTTTCTTTCTCAGTCCAGCTAAAGGAAAATTAAACATCTGGATTACAGGCTCCTAATTAGCAACAGGGCATGTTTTATTATTATAAACATGATGTGATAATGTGCTAATCCATTTCCTAATGCTAATAACATGATATCACAAACCCATGGTTTTATTTTGGCTCACAATTCTGGTCCAAGGTTGAATGGCTGCGTCTGGTTATGGCCTTTTTGCTAGCAGAGTCCTCGGGTGACGCAGGGCATCGCATGGTTGAGAGACAAGGAGTGCACACATGTATGTATCTTCTGATCTCTTCTCTCTTCCTATAAAGCCTCCAGGATTCAGTCATGGGGGCTCTAACCTGACAGCCTATATTAATCACCTTCTGAGGCCCCACCTCTAAACACCACAGTGAAATTAAGTTTCTACCCTCTTAATACCGCACAAAGGAAATTAAATGTCAACATATGAACCCCAGGGACATGGACAAACTTTGTCCAAACTATAGCAATTAAGCTGGAAAACAGAAAAGACACAGAAACTTCCCAGGTTCCATCTGTCTGAATTACACTCCACTTCCTGAGGTTTTTGCTGCTTACTTGCTGTCATTTCTAATTGAACAAGTTCTACATAATACATGCTTCTAAAAGCAAAAGGACTGCTTGCTGTTGAAAATGCCTGTGACTATTTTGGTTTTGCTCTTTGTATTCTGTTTTCCCAGAGCTGACTTTGTTGGTGTGTGTTCCTACTGTTCGTGGTCACCATCATCTTATCCCACCAGGGCTGGGTCCTAAGGCCTGAGCCTCTCTCCCATTTCTACCAACAACTTTTGGACATTTAGTTGGTTCCACTTTCTGTGTGTTCTCAGTGTAAAGAGCAGCTGTGGGCATCACCCCTTCCCCACAGGAAGGGTCATTTCATTTTGATATGTTCTCTCACTGAGCCAGACAATGTGAACAGGCTCTTGGTCCATCTCATGGGGTTTCCTAGAAGAACTGTAGCACGTTAAACACTCATACACCTCGGCCTGAGCAGTGCCTGAGCTACTGCTGGGAATACTGGGTGTTATGAAAATCAAAAATGGACCCATCTTGCTAATTCCAGAGATTGGAAATGCTCTTTCTGGCTTCAGTTTCATTTCTGTGATTACTGTGAGGTCCTCATTCCCCAGTCTTCCTATTGAGTTCCTCTTCTGGGAAATGCTTACCCCCTACCTTCTCTCATCAGTCTGTTCCTGAGTTCTCACTCATCACCTTTGGCCAGGCATATTTTCTTTTCTTTTGGTTCTACTGAACTTTTTTTTAATAGATTGGAGTAATTGGTCAAATCTTCCCCTCTTCTTGTAATTTACATTTTATTACTTTCAGAGGTTTAGAAATATAAAATCTGTTTTGTTTGTTTGGGGGGCTAGAGATCCTACCCAGGGCTTGTACATGCTAGACAAGAACCCTGCTACTGAGCCATGCCCCAGCCCCAGCTTTCTTATTCCTGTGTCTAACTATAATGCAGCTGGAGTGTGTCCAGGCTTGTGGAGAGAGGAGCTCATTGTTGGGGCAGCAGAATGCTGGGCTGGCTGGTGCCAGCGTCCTGGCCAGTTTCTTCTGACCACCTCCTTGGAATCCCATCACTTTTTGAGCAGGGACCTGAAAAAATGCTTACTTGTAAGAGACTAGGGCAGAGGTCCAATTTGATGAATTATGTTTGAAAAATTGTCAATTCAAGGGTAGAGACTAGTACAAAAGGACAAATACTGTGCAGTTCCTTTTATATGGGGACCTACTAGCCAAATCCATAGAGGCAGAAGTAGAATGATGGTCACTCCTCCAGTGGGGAGGACCCACAGGAAGCTACTGTATGTTAGGTGCCACATTTCCTTTTAGAGTGATTTTAAAAATCCTAGATACAGATGGTGGTTTCTTAATGCACTGAACTGTACACTTAAAAATGACAGAACTAGTAAATCTTATGTTGGTGTATTTTACCACTCAGAAAAAGATCAGACTAAAGAAAGAGAACTCAAGGAGACTGAAGCCATCCTCCAGGTGAATGGAGACAACTGTATCACCAGGTGCTTGCTTGATCATTAGGACTGCCTTGAGACAGTCCACCTCTGGCCTCTTCTGGAGCTGACTCGGCCACCATACTGCTCACTGGACTGCCTTAGACAGGCCTGTCCCCTCTCTGGACACCCCCTTGTCACTCACCTGTGTGAATGGTTTCTGGATAAGAATCCTAAAGCCTGTGCCACCAGAAGTCTGGTACCAGGTCCCTCAGCCAGTTGGTGGCAGAGTCAGCAGGAACCCAGAAGTCTGGCCCTGTAGCCCTTCAGCCTCCTTCAAGGACCCCTTTCTTACTTCTCCACAGAGTTTGGCCTTTGTTGAAGCTGGCGGACACTGACTGCCAGGCTGCCTGTCCTCCCTGAAGTCTGACCAAGCGCTGGGCATGGCCCAGTGCCCCTTACTCACCTGCCTTGTTTAACTCTGGCCACTCTGGAGTTTAGAATGTTACCCATTTTACAGATGAGGAAAAGTGTGTCTCTCAGTCTGGATTCCATTAAGAAACAGAACCAGTAAGACACAGTCTGGTGTAGAGACAGAATTTTCTATCACAAGGCATCGGCTTCTGTGATTGTGAGGGCTGGTCTCTTCTGAAACCCACAGGGCAAGCTGGGACTTGTAGGTGGGAGCTGATGTGGCAGGTAACAGGTGGAATCTCTTTTTCCTCAGGAAACTTTAAGTTCTACCTTTAAGGTGTTTTAGCTAATGGCATGGGGCCCACCCAGGTTCCCCAGGAAAATCTACCTCATAAATCTACCCAGATTAATCTCATCTACACCAAGGTGATGTACACAACTGACCGTCACCAGTGGGCTGGGGTTGTGATCAGTTCATCCAAGGTCTTGGCTCCCAGGCCTTTGTGGCATCTTAGCTGTGCCCAGTGCTGGGATCCTACAGAGCAACATGGTTGACAAACTGTCAGCTTTAGCTGGGTTGCCAGTGGCTCACGCTTGTAATCCTAGCTATGTAGGAGGCAGAGATCAGGGGGATCGCAGTTCGAAGCCAGCCCTGGGCAAATAGTTCATAAGACCCTATCTTGAAAAAACCCATTACAAAACAGGGCTGGTAGAGTGGCTTAAATGGCAGAGTGCCTGCGTAGCAAGTCTGAGGCCCTGAGTTCAAACCCCAATATGGCCAAGTGTGCAGGGTCTCAAAATGCACTTGCTCCCTCAGTGACCTGGTCAGACAGTGCGGTGGGATCCCCTAGCCTTCCTCTAGAAAAAAGTGGGTGGAGCTGTGGGGAGGGCTAAAGAAAATCTGGACCCCCTCTTCTTCCTGCCCAGCACTAACAGCTCCTTCTTGCCTCTGCAACAGCAACATGAAGCTGCAGTTCAGAGGAGAGAAGCAGTTCCAGCCTGTGGCACGGTAAGAAGATTGTCACTTCCCCCTTTGTGGCCTTGGGTGGGGGCTGTTTCCCTCATGCTGGCTTTTCTTGGTTGCAGGTCACAGTACCCTCAGCCCAAGCTGCTGGAGCAGAGGTAGGCATCAAAGAGAGACCTGACAGAGGTGTGGAGAGGTGCAACAGCTCTGATTTATTTATAAGATGATGGAGGTACCAACGAAAGAGTGGCCCTAGGGATAAGAGAGACAGGGACCTGGGCTCCAACTCTGTCACTAACTCTGTCACCTTGGACAGGTTAGCCATCTGGCTTTGAGCTTTTCCTGTTCATGTGATCATAATTGTACCTACCTTGTATGAGGCTAATGGAGCAGATGAAATGGTATTGTAGCCAGGCGTGGTGGCACTCACCTGGAATACTAGCATGTAGGAGGCAAAGGCAGGAGGATCATGAGTTCAAGGCCAGGTGGGGCTATAAAGTGCATTTAAGGCTATCCTGGGCTGCACAGTATTGTGTCACATGGTGTCCCTCCTGCCAACCCTAGGCTTACATAGTGAACACCAGGTTCCTCTGTACACTTGGCATGCTGTGCCATCTCCCTGCCCTCCCAACCCTGATGGATAGTAGCTGTTATTATCTCCACTTCACACATGGGGAAACTGAGGCCCAGTAGCAGGAATGAGGTTGCCCCAGGTCACACAATGGTGGAGAGCAGAGCCAGGATACCACCGAGCTTGGGTGGGGATATCTTAACACTCATGCCTCCCCTGCTGCCAGGCCTACAGAGCTGCTGACCCTCACACCCTGGTTGGCACCCATCGTCTCCGAGGGAACCTTCAACCCAGAGCTCCTGCAGCACATCTACCAGCCACTGAACTTGACCATTGGAGTCACGGTGTTTGCCGTGGGGAAGTGAGTAGTGGGCTAGGTGAGAGTGGGGCAGGGTCTTCTTGAGCAGCTAGGATTTATGGTCCATGGGAGAGGCAGCTCCTGGGAAGGCACTGAGTAGAATGTGATGGGGGCAGGGCTTCCTGGAGAAAGGGTCTCACCCTGGCATGAAAGGGGAGGCAGAATCAGCCCAGATGAGTAACAGCAGTACCGTTGACAGGAGGTCCCTGTCCTTCCTGCCTCCCTGAGGCCTCCTGGACTTCCCTCTCTTCCTTGACCCCACCTGGCCTTTCTTTTAGGTCCACCCAGGGCCTAAAGCACTGGCCAGATGACAAATGGTCTACCTGGGGAGATCCATGTTATTCACTTCTGCTCCATACCCCATTCATACCCCAGCATCCTGTACCCACCTTCCCTTGGTTCCGCCTCCTGCTTGCTCCCTCCCTTCCCTTCCCTTCCCTCCCTCCCTTCCCTTCCCCTCCCCTCCCCTCTCCTCCGTTTTTAGTGGTATTGAGGCTAAACTCAGGGCCTCACACTCACTAGGCAGGTACTCTACCACTTGAGCCACTCCACCCCCTTCCTGCCTGCTTCTTGGCTTCTTTCTTCCTGCTGATCTTCATGTTCCTGCCTATAAAATGGGCAAGCTAAAAATAAATAAATAGAATGGACAAGCTTACAGGCACCTTATGAAGATCAAAGGTCACAAGAATCCCTAAGAACACTGTCTGCGGCATTTAATAGTCACTCAATAAAAGGTAGTGTCACTTAGGAATATAAAAATCACCATTGGCTCAAGTGGTAGAACACCTGCCTAGCAAGCATGAGGTCCTGAGTTCAAACCCCAATACCACACACAAAAGAAAAAAATCACCATTAAGGATCAATCTTACAACAGTCTTAGTGGTCGGTACAAGGTGAATGTCACTGATCCAAAATACTTGGGACCAGAAGTATTTCACATTTTGGAATTTTTTTGGGTTTCAAAAATGTGTGTAGCGTTTACCAATTACGCATCCCTAATCCAAGCATCTGAAGTTGGGTTTTCAGATTAGAGGAGCTCAACTGTGCTGGATTGTGGGAATTTGACAGATGAGGACCTCAAGGTCTGACCTGAGTGACTTCTGAAGGTGGGGAACACTGGGTTCCATGTGATGCCAGCATACAGCAGGGACCCAAGCGGTGCCTTGCTGGGACAGCCATCGATGACAGGATTGTCCTCACCAGATATACCCAGTTCGTCCAGCACTTCCTGGAGTCGGCGGAGTTGTTCTTCATGCGCGGTTACCAGGCCCACTACTACATCTTCACACACGACCCCACAGCCATTCCCAGGGTCCCGCTGGGCCCCGGCCGACTCCTCAGCGTCCTTCCCATCCAGGGTCACACCCACTGGGAGGAGGTCTCCATGCGTCGGATGGAGACCATCAGCCAGCACATTGCCAAGAGGGCACACCAGGAGGTGGACTACCTCTTCTGCCTTGATGTGGACATGGTGTTCCGGAACCCGTGGGGTCCCGAGACCCTGGGGGACCTGGTGGCTGCCATTCACCCAGGCTACTTCACTGTACCACGCCAGCAGTTCCCCTATGAGCGCAGGCAAGTTTCCACGGCCTTTGTAGCGGAAGGTGAGGGGGACTTCTATTATGGTGGTGCAGTCTTTGGGGGGCGAGTGGCCAAAGTGTATGAGTTTACCAGGGGCTGCCACATGGCTATCCTGGCAGACAAAGCCAACGGCATCATGGCGGCCTGGCAGGAGGAGAGCCACCTGAACCGCCGCTTCATCTCCCACAAACCATCGAAGGTGCTGTCCCCTGAGTACCTCTGGGACGACAGGAAGCCTCAACCACCCAGCCTAAAACTGATCCGCTTTTCTACCCTGGACAAGGATACCAGCTGGCTGAGGAGCTGACAGCAGAGCCGGGGCTGCCATGGACAGCAACCCAAAGCCCTGCAGCCATCTGCCCCAGTTTGAGGCTTAGGCAGAGACCAGCCCTATCCTGCCTACCTCAGTCTACCAGGAGAGCCCAACTGGAAAACGGGTGTGGGAGAGGTGGTTCTAGACTGTAAAGGGTTATGCACCTATGATCATACAGTGATCTGGCACAAGAATGGCTGGACAGGAGGAAAACGAGGTTATGAGGCAGGGCCTGGCAGGCCTCACCCAGGGGATGGGCCTTCAGAGGGACAGGCCCTGGAGTCTCAGCCCCATTCAAAGTGCCTGAAGTCCTGCTGCTGTCCCCCAACTCGCTGCATATAGCCTGGAAGTTGCACTTTAATACCCCCTGTGAAAAGCACTCCGGACCCCTTTCTCCAGCTACCCAGAGTACTAGTACCCAGGGTACTAGTTCTTCACTCAAGACCCCAGAGCCAGCTCTAAAATGGGCTATGTCTAGGCTCCCCCTGGTCCACACTACCCTGGGTTGAGCCACACTCTCAGGGACTAGCTGCCTTCTTCCTAATAGGGTTTGGGGTGGCTTCAATAAAGGTGATATGGACTGGGCCCTAACTAGGGTTTTTACCTGTACATCTGACTGTTCATATGTCTGACCACTCTGGGGATACAGGCAGACTAGATTTCAAACATAATCTGGAGTAGAGGATACAGTTATTCCAGCAAACCTCGGCTAGAACTGGCTGCTGCCACAGACAGGTTCATTCTGGTCCTCTGACGAGCCAGGTTGAAGCAGGAGACAGACAGACATGCCACACTTCTGCCTGCGGAGTCAGCTGGAGAGCTTCATGGGCTCAGGTCCTGGGCACACAAAGGGGTGTGTCTTTTGGCCCTCCTGTATCCGAGGCCACCTCAGGCTCACCCCAGGGCAGTGCTGCAGGCTGAGACTAGAAGGCCTGCCAGGGTGGACATTCCAGCCAGAACTTGGACCTCTGGCCAGGCAGAGATGGGGTGGGAGCATGGATTAAGGGCTTGCCTAGTGCCTACTCCTGTGGGGACAGCACTAGCTTTTCCATAGAAGAAGACACAAGGTAGGGTTGGGGTACTCTACGCAGTCATGCCAGGATGGGTAGCCACCACCTGCCATAGCCTCCCTGGCAAAGCTAGGGGGCCATCTTGGGCCCATTCTTCTGCAATCTACAATTCAGCTGGTGAGCAGGGATGGACACAAGAGTGAGCAGGTAGAGTTACTGTTACAAGACATCATCTGGACTGGAAAAGCCCTGACATTTTTGGGCAGAGTTAAGGAATACCTGCTCAGGGATGCTGGTCACAGGAGGGGTCTGCAAAGCAGGGCTGTGTTGAAACAGAAGGAGGCTCTTGGACAGGAGGCCAGGAAAAACCTCCAGAGGAGAGGCCCTGAGGCTTGGGCAGCATACACCTTTCTGGAGACAAGTCTGCTCCCAGCTGACTCCCAGTCTAGCTCTGACCCATGCCTAGCCAGCTTGGTAGTCACAGCCTCTCCCAAACCCAGCTGTGAGCCTTTTTAGCCTGGGTCTAGTCCACCAGGAACAATGGCTAATCCTACTCCCCATTCCCAGTGCACAGTGAGTGACAGAACCAAACCCTAGAGCCAAACCATGGTCCACCTTGCCTTCCAGAAAGGAGCAAAGTCCTGGAGTCAGAGCTGTTCCATGGTCAGCAGAAGTAAAGGGGTTTGGCCCAGCAGAGGAAGGTGGCCAGAGACAGAGTCCCAGTGGGGACTTCTTAGCCCCTGTCTGGCAGAATCAGATTTGAGCTTTGTGTAACCTCAGACACCAAACTTTCCGGGGCTGATGAAAGTCTTACAGGCTGTGAAGGTTTTAAAATTGCAGATATGTCTTGGTGGAGCGGCTCAAGTGATACAGCCTAGCAAGCATGAGGCCCTATGTTCAACCCCCAGTACCACACACACAAATAGAGATACCTCTTCAAGTAACACACATATTTTACAGATGTCTTCAGGGCCCTCTGCCACAGAGGTCCCTTCACAACCAGGCCTTTCCTCATCATAAGTTACATCCAGCATTGTTGTTCAGCCCATGGGGCCTGGCCCAGCACACCTCTGCTCCCTAACCACAAATCAGGCCTGTCCATCACAGTACCCCATCTCTGGGGGGGTATTGCTCCTGATGTCAAATCTCCTGGAAGCCTGCCTTGAGTGTGGTCCCATTCAGAGTAGGTGACTTTCTGCTTTCCCAATAAATCATCATTTGCAATGCTATGCTGCCTGTTCCCCAGGCAGTGAGCTCCAAGAGGGAACTGATTACCTAGCCAGCTGGGCTTCCCCTAGGAACCTGGCACCCAGGAAGCACTCCACAAATGCTTGCTGAATGACTAAAAGAGCATCAGTTTAGGAGTCTGTCCTAGTACCCGTGGGATGTTGGGCAGGTTACCCCACCTCTCTGAGCTGCAAGGGTTAGGATTTTTAAATGAGACAATGGCTGGAAGACCTCTGGGCACTCGCCCTTCTTGGGCAGCTACTTAGATGTGTCACTAGCTCTGGGTTTGGCAGCAAGACCCCACCTGGGAGGAGGCACAGCTGCCATAGCCCCAGTGCCCACAGAAGGGCACCAAAGTAGGTGCTCAGTGGACCATACTAGGGTGGGTGGTAATGTGCCCACTTGGCCTTCCACTAGGACTCTGTGGCTCTGAGAAGACTACCTGGATGGGGTTCTGTGCTCCCCCGCCACTAGCTTGCAGTAAGCCCTTGACTGCTTGTCTGAAATGAGAGCCTTGTGGAATCTGATCCAGATGCCCTCCCCAAGGCACCCACACAGCTCTGCTCCCTGGAGCCTTTCTCACTCAGGGAGCCCCCTGCTATGCCCTTGTGTCCCCCCCTCCAAAGCCCCTGCCTACAGTATCCCGCCTGGAAGTCCCATCCAGCATGGGCTCTCAGTGAGTCCAGAGACCGTCTCCTTGGCTCCTGTGCAGACAGTCTAGGAGTCCAGTAAGTTGGGTTCAAACCCACAGCTGGGCCTCACCACAGCCCTGTGACAGGCAGGCTATGGGTGACTTCACAGAGCCTATGTTTCCTCAACTGAGAATGGGTCAGTGATTGCTTCATGAGGGTGTGCTGGGAGTCAAGCAGGGAGATGAGGGTGTCCAAAGGACTGGGCCCAAGAGGTGACCTGGCTGGAGAGACCCCAACACAGGACAAGGCCCTGCCTGTCAGAGAGTGATGGCGAAGAGCAATGATTCCCAGTCCCCCAGGCACACAGGGTTTGGCCTTGAGCGCTGGTGTCTGAATACCCAGGAGGCTCCCTAGTAACAGTGACCACCCCCAATACATACTCAGCCTCAGTTGTAGGGGGTCCTCTTTCTAGGCTCCCACTCCTCGCAGCAGCCAGGGACAGGCTGGACCTTGTGGTGACTTGAAAAAAAAGGGGCAGGGGATAGGAGGAGGGGAGGGTCAACCTGCCATTTCCCTGACCCCAGCCATCCACGGACCTAAGTCCTGCAGGTAGTATTGGGGATATCTGGGTGATGGAGTGAGGGTGTATATTCGGTTACTCCGCTGTCTCCGGGCTTTCCACGTCCACCCAGCCCGGCGGTCTCCACCTAGCAACCGTGAGAGTGGCCCTAGGTCCTAGACAGGTGCTGGCGCGGAGGGACAAGAGAGACCAATCAAGCGGAGCACTCTTTGCGCAGCGCACTCCTTGAGCGGCGCGTGCGCGCGGCGAGGCGGGGGGTCACGTACGCGCATCGCCCGCCGCGGTCCTGCGCAGGCCCCGGGTGCGCGCCCGGCCGAGTACCCGAGGCCGGCCGCCTCCGCGCCCGAGGAAGACGGGCCAGGCGCGTCCCCGAGCTCGCGCGGCGGGGCCCGCCCCTCGCACCTGCGAGCGGCCTAGGCGGGGCCTGGGCGTGGCCGTGCTGTCCCCGCCCACCCGGCCCGAGCCCCCGGAGCCCGGGCGGAACCAAGCGGCGGGGCCCGAGTGGCCGGCGGCGCGGCGCGGCGCAGACAATGGGAGCGGCGCTGGCGGCAGTCCGGGCGGCAGCAAGGGCCGCGGAGCGCCAGGCCTGGCGTGGACTGGAGACCGCGCCATGAGCCCCCCAGCCGAGCGCCCCCCTGCGCCGCGCGCCGGCCGAGGCGAGCGGCCTCTGCGAGTCCCGGGCCCCGCCCTGGAGCCGGCGATGAGCTGCCAAGGCTGAGGATGATGGTAGATTGCCAGGTGAGTCCGCGTCGGGCCGGATGGCCGCGAGGGGCGGAGGAGGCCCGCACGCCCCCGCCCACACCCCACCCGGGGGAGGGAGTCGGCGTGGCGTCCACACAGGGCGCGCGCTTACGCAGTTCCGCGTCCACCCAGCCTGGTACAATTGGGAAACTGAGCGCAGGAAAAAGGCAGGGACTGGCCCGGAGCACGCCAGGTGAACAGTGTCCTAGGAAGAAGGGAGAGTTCCGGCCTCCTGTACCACGGCTCAACTGTCCCTTAGAGTTTGCTTTGGGTATGACAGCCGCTGAGATGTTGGGGGGACCCCTTCCCACCACCTCCATGTGGGGCCCTTTTCTGTGGGGCTCCACAGGCACGCACAGGCGCGAGCGTACACACCTACTCACGTACATAAACTTCCTAGGTATGAGAGGAGGGCGGGACAGTAGGGAGGTGACAAGGGGGAAGAAAAAAAGGTCTGAGGCAACTCTGCCAAGGGGCAGAGGCGTCCAGTCTCCTAGCAACATGCCGGGACCGTTGCACGGGAGGAGGAGACATGCCAGGCTGATGGGCAGAGGGGTACTCAAAATTTTCTGCCTGGCAGAGAGCAGGGCAGCCTAGGGAGGACAGGGCCGTAGTCCTGCACCCACTACTCTGGGCACCTAGAACTAGGATAAGCATCCCTTCCTAGTGTGGAGGGAACTGTCAGGGGGAAAGACTTTAGTTTCCTCCTCTGCAAATTGGGGTGCTTGGCTCTGGTGACCCCAAGGGTCCCACAAGCTTGTAAAGTGTCTGTTGGCTTTGGTTCTCCATCAGTGAGCTCCTGCCCACCAAGATCCTAGGACAAAAAACTCTGTCACCTCCCTAGATGACTTCCTGAGCAGAGAGCAGTTTGGGGGGGGGGGGCGGGAACAGAGGACCTGGGTCATGCAGAGGGTGGCAGCGCACTGGCCCATTCCCCCAGCATCTAGGGGTGAGACCATCCTTTTTGGAACCACAGGTCCTCATTTGGAAGTGGGGCTGTGGTCATTGCCCTCGCTGGGGTGAGGAGGCTTCCATGAGTGAACCCCACACCCCAGAGCCAGCAGAGGGAGGAGGGGAGCAAGTGAGGCTTCTGAGGTCTTTCTCATTACTCCTGGAACCTGTACACCCTGCTCCTTAGCCCCTCCCGGGGCGTGGGAGAGCAGCTACCTTGACAACCTCCAAACAAAGGTGTGTGTTTTGTTTTCTGCTTTTCTTGTCTGGGACTGTAGTTCTGGAGATGGCCATCAGAGGGCAACAGTGCATCCATGCCCAGTGGAGCAAGTGAAGCCAGAAAGGAACCCCCAGGCCCTTGCTGTGTGCCCTTCCTCCTACCCAACCAGGCCTCCCATCACTAGCATCCCAGGGCAGTGTGAGCGACTCAGGCAGGAAGGGGCCCTAGCATCCTCTCTCCTTTTCACTCAGCACTATGGCTGAGCCCCATGCAGGAGCCTCCTTACTCCTAGGTGTGGCTCTGAAAGTGACCACCACGGACCTACTCTCCAGGAGCTCCCAATCTGCAGGTGGAGGTGCACAAAAGCTCTAGTTATCCACTGATGTGTGATGCCATCCCCCTAACTTACAGGTGACAACTGCAGACTGATGATGTCGCAGTTTCTGTGGTCCCTATCCAGGCTGGCTCAGCCGGGGGTCTGCCTCCAGATCTCTCAGGAGATGGACTATGGCCTCCATTGAAGACCTGGAGCTCATTCCTATTAATTGGCAGGATCAGGTTTGGGCCTCAGGCCTCAGTTCCACTGTGGCCATTGGCTGGTGCCCTCTGAGGACTTTTTGCCAAGTGGGCCTTTCTGTAGGACAGCTTATAACATCAGAACCTGCTTCCCCAGAGGTGAGCAGGGAGTGGGGTGAGGGAAAGAACAAGATAAAAACAGAAGTCACAGTTTTCTGTAAATCTCAGTAGTGACCTCACATCACTTTTGCTATATTCTGTTGGTTAGAAACCAGTCACTAAATCTGGTCCACCTTAGGGTGTGGGGGAGAGTGAGTTGCTCAGACTTGTGTACTAGGAGGTGTATGGATGGTGGGAGCCATTGTGGTGGCCATATACTCTGTGGGCTGAGATAAAGACAGGTCTGATTGCAAACACGATGGGGAGCCATTGAGAGATTTATGCTGGAGGGTGACAGTGCCTGAGTTTGCTTACTCTTCAACCCTCTAGTGGCACAGACTTGGAAATGAGACCAAGGGAGAAAATGACTGTCCCTAGAGCACACACCAGAGTCAGGCCTATTTTAAGTTGTATTCCATGCCATGTTCCACTCCCTCTTGTAATTCTTCCATCTCTAAATGTGTGCATTAGCCCCAGGTGACATCAGCCTACACACATATACATATGGCATTCCAGAAAAGCAGATGCTGGAATGACCCCTATTGTGCATATGGGGAAACTGGGCAGGCCCTGAAAAAAGCACAGTGACTAGTCCGGGATCATAGAACTGATCAGAGGGAGGAGGTGGGTGACCCGAATGACTTTACCTTCTGCAGATATGGAAACCCAGTGGTTGATTGTCCCAGCACGTAAATGTGGCTGTGCCCACCCACAAGCTCCTACCTTGGGCAGCTCCTCCTTACCTGCCATCACCCTCTCCATTTCCCTTCACCCCTAACTCTGCTGTCCCTTGATTCTTATGGAAGTCTGAATATGATGAGGTGCAAAGAAGGGAATCATTCATTCGTTCAGTTAGTGTACATATCCTGGGCCCAGGCCACGCCGGAGGAGTCAAGAAACTTGTCAAGGGAGGGGTGAGAACAAATAAGGCACTGGAAGGAGGTGCTCTGTGGCAGGTCCATTCAAGGAAGGGCACGTGATTGGGCCTAGTATCTGTTGTATTAATGTCCTCGGGCTTCTGTGACAAACTGCCATATACTGTGCTGTGGGTGACCCAGCACAATGAAGTCTAAAATCAAGACTCTAGGAAAGGGGTCCCTCCTGCCACTTCCTGCTTGTGGTAGTTGCCTGCAGTCCTTAGCTTTAGATCTTTGCCTGGTAAACACACTACTCCAACTCTGTCTCTGCCTTCACATAGCTGCCTGTGTGTGTCTGCGTCCAATTTTCCCCATGATCACAAAGACACAAGTTATTGGATTAGGGCCCCCCAATCCAGTATGATCTCACGTTGATTATATCTACATAGACCCTATTTCCATGTAAAATCCCAATCACAGGTGCCAGGGTCTTTGGGGAGGGGGGACACAATTTACTCTGTAACAGTGGTATTGGGAATAATTTGATCCCCAAAGGCCAAAGACTGGGGCAGAAGCTGTGGGGGGGGAGGGGTTGTGGATGTGGCATAGGCTAGTGGGCTTAGGGTGAATGGAGCTTGGTAGCTCCAGTAGCAGCTCCAGCAGGTGGCACTGTGACCTCTGGGGCAACTAGACAAAGGACTCACCTGGTTGCCATGGAGATGACGCTTAACTACAAACAGGCCAGGAGCACAGTCATTTCGAGGGTGACACACTGGAGGAAATCAGACCAGGTGGGGCCACAGGGTGGTGGCTGGCTGGCCACTGGGGAAACTGGCAGGGACAGACCACCCATTGCATGGGGAGTCAGGAGTTTTCATTCCCTTTGGTTCTTCAACTGTAAGCTGAGCTGGCCCTTCTCGACCTTTCCAGGGGCCCTGCAGCTAGATTACACCTGAGGTTTCCAGACAGTTCTCCCATTACTGCAAACCATGGGGCCCAGGTCTGGGGGCCCACAGAAGGCAGACATCAGGACGGCAGCCATGGGGACAGGTGGGCTCCCCACATAGGGCATGATTCGAAGGGTCCTTTCCCCAGAGAGCCCCTGTCCAAAGTGGGTGGTGCACCTGACAGGGTCCTCTTAGGCGCCCCTTTGGTACATGAGGAGGTAGGGCAATGTGGAGTGGGCCCAGGCTCCCTCTCAGGTATGGGCTGTGGACAGCAGTGAAGTAGAACCCAGTGCCTGGGAGTGGAGGTCACTTCTCACTATCACCCTCCGCTGCATCTGAATCCCACTGGGCCCTTTCCATCATCTCAGCCCCCAGCTATTGGGCTGCCCTTGGGGCACTAGTCATTGACAGCAGCTCACTGATTTGAGTCACAGCAGCTAGGAGGGCTGTGTGCACGTGCCCTGTGTGGAGCACCACAGCCCTGTTGAAGGAGCAGGGGTGTGAGGCAGGCAGCTTGTCTGATGGAGAAGTGGACTGGGAGCCTTGGGACCTGGGCTCAGCTGTGGCTCTGCTGTCTGAGGCATGGTGAGGTCATGGAGGAGCTCTTCTCTGCATGGAGAAGCTCTTCTCTGCATGGTCCTCCTAGGCCACATGCATACCTCTGTCCTGGGTTGTGGCAGCTCCTGATCCTGACAGCCCCTCACACCATCTGTATACCTGGCCTTGTTCCACAGCGTCTCTTTTATCTGCCCAGCACTCTACAAAACAGGCTCTCCAGTACTTCACTTCCGGTGAGGAAACCCAGGCACTGAGGTGGGGAAGGGACTCCCACATCTAGGTAGGGGCAAGCCTGGGAGGCACTCCCTATTTGCAGACAAACCCAGGAGGAGCAAGCCAGGCATCAGGGCTGGGACCAAATTCCTTGCAATTACAGTGGGCTTCCAGTGGTCCTGGCCAGGGAGGTGGGGAGAGCAAGGCTGGAGGCCCCCGAGGTAGTGGTTAGTTGCAGGATTAGACATAAACAAACCT